TCTTGTTCTTCTTACTTCTTTGTTCTTGAAAGTTGGTTAGATTAAAAAAAGTCTCTATTTTATTGAATAGCCGGAAAACTATCAACGGAGTTAATCACTGCCCACTTTCGGATATTGCCCGCAGTGGACGACACCCATGACTTTTTTTTTCGCCAGGCGCTTCTCGTTTCTTCCACCTTGCTGGACTACCCTCAAAGGAAATAACATACTTATTACTTATACAATTATTTTATAGTCGTCAATAATCTTCGTCTAAAGTTTTTGTATCATGCTGGTCTTCTTTGATATTTTTAACAAGATTAGAATTTTAAATTTTGATTCACTTAACTGTCAATATATTAGTCAAAACCCTATAAGTCGTCGATGCTCAAAACATATTATTCCAAAAAGTTCAGAACCTTCTGTGTAGTAAAAAATCGTGTGTTACGTTTTTGGTAGACTACGGAAGTGTTTAACCATTCAGATTTGTAATCCTAAGAAAATGTGTTGAACTAATAACTGTGGGTAAAAAATAAAGACACTACGTTTAAAATCTAAGTCAGCTTAGCCTTAACTACGAACTAGAAAAGCCACAAACATATTATATTGTTAAAGGCGTTTCTGTCTCATTTTCGAATATTGTTTCTAGAAGAAATCTGTCCTTATTCCATACAATAGGTCCTAAAAGACATTTTGTATAACGAGGCGGCTATTGCGGCTGTAAACGATACCATTTCATATCGTGTAACAGCTCGGAACGCAAGTTTTCTGCTTGGAAATTCTCAATTTGTTCGCAAATAGAAAATGTTGAGTATCGCAAAGTCGTTGGGTTGAGCCGACGACCGAACTTTGCCAATTTCACGCATTAACACTTTGTTCTTCGTCTAAATTGGATTTATTAAACGTTGTAGTTTCATTTTGTATCGCGAGCGGTTTTTTAAATAGTTTGTGGAAGGAAACGGATTACATTGATGTCGATCTTTTTCTGATATTTATAACATTTTGTTATTGTTCTTTCATTATGAAATGTGATTATTCCCAGACTAGGTAAAGTTATTTCTTTTATTGCTCTGCATTATGATATTCTCATATGACGTGGGTGCCTTTACTATCATAACAAATTTATCAACATCAACAATCTGTAGATCCCACAAAGAGTTCCATGCAGGAATCAGTCCAGCGACACGTGGCGCAAACAGCTGGTTATTGCGCGAACCGTAAATCTATGACAATGTAGATGAAATGCTTATAATGAACATTTTCAGGAATTAATAAGAAGTACCAAGAAGGATTCAATTCGTATTAAAAAGTTCCTTTGTACATACTAATTATGGCTTGTCCTTCTATAATCTATACTTATAATAAATCTGTAGAGAGGTCAATTCTGTACATAAAATATATTTAAAAAATAACTATCAAGGGGTGGTTAGGGATCGCCACTGATGCCAAAAATGCAATCAGTAAAATTTTTGTCTGTCTGTCTGTCTGTCTGTATGTTCGTTATGGAAACAAAAACTACTCGACGGATTTTAACCAAATTTGGCACAATTATTCTTCATACTCTTGGGCAGGTTATAGTATACTTTTCATTACGCTACGATCAATAGGAGCAGAGCAGTGAAGGGAAATATTGGGAAAACGGGAGAAGTTACTCCATTTTTTAAGCTTCCGTCGCGTGTGCAGGCTTATAGGTTAAAGCTACATAGAAATCATGTACGACGGAAATATTCTCCTTAAAATTATATAAAAAATATTCCTCGACAGCATATGTCTATCTTTTATGGTTGACTCACAATAACACGTGAAACTCCCGATAGCTTAGCAATTCGGTGATTTCTGATTGTATTTGTCTACTCTAACGTTTACAATACTCATTCATAGACTTTACGCTGTAACCGAAACGCCAATGGTTGAGATTCGCTATTATAAATGAAAATATGTGAGTTTATGTGTATGTTTGTTACTCAGTTATATTAAAACCACTGAAGGGACCGGAATGAAATTCGGAACAGAGGTAGATTATGGTCTGAAGTGATACATAGGCATTTTACCCCTGGGATCGCGGGCGAAGCCGCTGGCAGAAGCTAGTTTTGATATATTTCTCTCAATAATGTCAAAAACTCAAGTTAAGAAAGTCAATCATGCGTGGAAGTCGTATTTTATGACTTTCATAAAATCTGTGTTTTAGATTAGTATAAGTAGGTATGAGGAGCTAACTACATAGTTTACAAGAAGGACTGCTGTAACTTTTTGTTGCGTATTTGGAATGTAAAAGTAAGTAGTTTGTAATGTTCGTGCACAATTGATAGATAGATTTGTTTACTTCTTGGTACTGTTAACGTGTGTTGTGTTGTTATTGTATGTGTTAGGTACTAGTGCCTTGAAATAGCTATTAAACTTAAAGTTTTTAAAGGAAAATAGTTGATTCCTACATTTTGTATGTTTCACATTTTTTTGCCGACTCAACCAGCACGTACTATTGTCAAAATCTTGCCAAGAAATGAGGTTAAGCTGGTTGACTGCGACCTAATAGGTACCGTAACGGTAGGTACCTATCTATATCTATATATATAAAAGAAAGTCGTGTTAGTTACACTATTTATAACTCAAGAACGACTAAATCGATTTGGATGAAAATTGGCGGGATGAAAATTTTTTTATACTTTTATCGAAAATCACGAACGCGAACGGGGGGGAAATGGGATTGCGCGTACGAAGTCGCGGGCAGAAGCTTATCTATATATATATGTCGTAGGATAATTTGATATTTCGAATCTTCGCGGAAATCCTAGGGGTTTTGCGAAAACGCGGATAATTAGACATAGGCGAAAAATTATCAAATCTTACTGGACAAAGTCAGGATTTTTGCGAAAATACTCGTTACTATAGTAAGATTTGATGTGCTCAACACTGATTGGCTACAATTTTGGTGGCTGGCTTCTAATTGGTTCCTAGTTTAGGTGAGAAAGAAAAATCACTAAATTGATTTTTATAAACCTTTTATTGAAAATTTTAGTATGTATGTTGTTTTCTACAGACAATAGGAGATCTCAGTCGTTGTAAAAACAAAAATGATCCAATTTTAGGGTGTAATCCATAAATTGGATGAAACTGGTCGTTTAAGACGACGAAAAAACATTTAAGACGTCAACCAATCAGAGACGATCTCTTATTGAACGCGCTGACCGACCAACCAGCGTTCTTATTTCATAACAGCCAGCGTTTCGTTTCGCAATCTTACTAAAAATATAATAACTCTATGATACAATACTTGAAGTTAATCATCGGCAAACTAGGAACCAATTAGAAGTCAGCCAGCAAAATTGTAGCCAATCAGTGTTGAGCACATCAAATCTTACTATAGTAACGAGTATTTTCGCAAAAATCCTGACTTTGTCCAGTAAGATTTGATAATTTTTCGGCTATGTCTAATTATCCGCGTTTTCGCAAAACCCCTAGGATTTTCGCGAAGATTCGAAGTATCAAATTATTCTACGACATATATAAAAGAAAGTCGTGTTAGTTACACCACTTATAACTCAAGAACGGCAGAATAGATTTGACTGAAAATTGGTAGGGAGGTAGCTTAGAGCCAGGAAACCGACATAGGATACTTTTTGACTAAAATTTTTTTTTTACTTTTTACCGAAAATCACGAACGGGGACGGGAAGAAATGGGATTACGCGCACGAAGTCGCGGGCAGAAGCTAGTATTTTTTAAAAGGAGGTTGTATAGTTCCTCATATGAAATAATGAAAACGCGTTTCACTTTGTCATAGGCGGCAATAATATGGTTTTAGAAAGAGAAGGCAACATATTTCTGCCCTTGTCATTTTTGGTCTGACGTCATTAATATGTCATTTGTTTTTTATGCAATGTTTTAAAGGCGGTAATAATCTGGATTTAGAAAAAGAACACGATATATTACTGGCCTTGTCATTTTCGGTCTGACGTCATTGACATGTCATTTGTTTTTATTTTGCACGAGCACACCCGGGGAACAGTTCAATAATTACATATTTGTTCCGTGTCACTTAACTACACACTATGGAATGCCTCTTATTTAAAAAACAGTTCTACGAATTTCCTTGCAATTTATTGTTAATAGTTACTTTTATCTATGAAGTAACCTGAACTTTTCCAAATATTTCATTGAAATTAACAAATATCATGTCTACTTCATTAGGTAACCTGTAAGAATTTAATAAACACACAAAGTAACTTAAATGTTTGATAGTACAAAGTGTCTCATGCGTTTGCAATTATCTAGTGTTTACCAATTTAATTCCTTTCCTTTTCCGATTCCTTCGAAAAGATTTTTACATTAAATAATAATAGTTTACCAACATATTTTTTACTCCATCGGTATTTTTCTTTTAATCACACGTATTATAGATGTATTATCTCACCGAATCTACTAAACTCGAATGCTAGGTGTCCCTTGAGTGTTGTGATTGACTATGATTTGATGTATTTATGTTCTTCATAGAAAAATTTAGGCCCTTGCTAAATTTTAAAGAGATAGAATTCTTGCCTGCTCATTTATTCTCAGTGAGCGATTATGTAACTTCACTGTTTGAAGAGTATGTCTTGAGTTTGAGATAGGTAATGGACATAAATTGTTGACTTGGACTTTGAATGTCTGCAAAGACTTTGATCTTTGATATGGTAACAGCTTCACTATCTCACCAGTTTTTTTATGGAATAAGTCGGTAAACGAGCAGACGTATCACCTGATGGTAAGCAACCGGCGTCGCCCATGGACACCTGGAACACCAGAGGCGTTACAAGTGGGTTACGGGCCTTTGGGAGTTAGGAATTTGAGGAATGTTGGGGAGTCAGGGTCGGGGAGATTGGGGCAGAGGGAAGGGGGGAGTTGGGCCTCTCGTAACTTCATTCGCACGACGAAATACTAATCCTGTGAAGCCGTGGTATCACTACGGTCGTGCCGGCCCATTCGTGCCGAAGCAAGGCTCTCCTACACTTGGCATAAGTGATAGAATAAACATTTATGTGAACAGGTCACAAAGAGTCGTGCTCAGAGGACAGCAAGCCGCACGAGATCAAGCCGAGCCTCGACCGGTCGCACCATGCGCTCGGCCCACGGCTACACATCGCGCACAATATACGCACCGAACACTTACAAGGTAATCAGAAGTACCTCACTTTATCCGAATTTGTTCAGTAGCTTCACAAAAGGTATACCGAAACAATGGTTTGTGATATCTCTAGGGTTGCAAGTGTGCCGCGGAGAACCTAACGGGTTACCGGGGCTCCGGTTTGACGTGCAGGAGAAGGAACGGGGTGGTTTTTAGTCAGTAAGAGTCTGATACTCCCTCCCGCCTCACCCAAGCGGGAGCAGTCATTCGATGATTTCCCCCCTTTAAAAAAAAATGGTTGCAAGTGTACTTATGATTAAGCTACGGTATTCGCTCGATACCAGGCGGGTCGTAAACTTTGTTGCAACCGTATAAAATAGTAATATTTTGTTGATTTCGGTAAATTGAGAATGTTTTGAATTCGGTGAATTTGAGGAAGCTACAATGTTTGACTGTGCAATCATTTTGTTCAGCAATGTTTTGAATGATTTTGACGTACACATAGTAGCGAGTATGGTAGCTGAATTACATAAGTTACAGCGTCATTACAGTTTCTGTGTAAGAAGCCTTAAAATTCTTTCATACCTCATGAAAACAAATAAATCGTTCAATCATTTGCAATACCCGCTTAATGATGTTAATTAAATAGTAAATTTATAAATATTTACCAAATTCGCATGATTGCTGATTGATTTTCAATTTTAATAAGGAAATTACTATGATCATCAGCGTCCAAAATTTTTTTAGATCATCAGCGTCGATTACCGTATTTATTATCCAACTGCTTGTTAATAAATCTAATTATTTCTGAATTTCATATCTATATTCTATATACCTCAGTCGTGTTAGTGACTCCACTTATAACTCAAGAACGGCAGAATAGATTTGGCTGAAAATGGGAGGGAGGTAGCTTAGAGCCAGGAGACCGACATAGGATACTTTTTAACCAATACTTTTTTTTTTACTTTTTACCGAAAAACACGAACGGGGACGGGAAAAAATGGGATTACGCGTACGAAATCGCAGGCAGAAGCTAGTTGCAAATAGAAGTGTACGTACTGATGATGCACTATTTAATTAACTTTATATGACATGGAATTATTATATAGTATACCAAACAAATATTAACCAGATACCGTTAGCAAAATAATTAGAGACTACCTTCCAGCATCGCCATCGTTCGCGTTCGCGCGGGTAAAAAATAGCCTATTTATTATCCAAGACAATCATCTACCCCTGTTCCAAATTTCACGTTGATCCCTTCAGCCGTTTTGGCATGAAAGAATAACAAACACACACACACACACACACACACACACACACACACACACACATACATCACACACACACACAAACTTTCGCATTTATAATAATAGCAGGATTACAGTTAAAATGTTCTTGTTTATCAAAGGGGCCTGTTGCCCGGTCTCTGTCAAATATGTTACACCTCCGAGAAGAGTGGATGTAATCAGAAAATAGGGTTTAATCTATCTTCAATAGTTTATGAAACTGACGGTGTATGTTTGGTAGTTATAATCATCACTCAAATAACTTTACCTACACATAAGTAATGTTACACCCACTTTTCACTATTTATGTTAATAAGTCCCATATAATAGGGGGTGAGCCTATTGCCATATACCGGGCAAAATTCCAGACTCCGTGCTACCACTGAGATTTTTTTAAAACCCAGTAATACATTGCCCGACCCGGAAATCGAACCCGAGACCCCTTGCCCAGCAGTTGCACTTGCGACCACTCGGCCAAAGTAACAACAACTTGGATATAAAAAAATAGAAATTAATCCAATTTAATTTGCAGGTGGCATCCACCAACAACACAGTGGAGGGCATATGGCCACGGTGCCAGTCAGCATGTCGTCCTCAGCATCAGACAGCGACAAACCTGCCAAGCAGAAGAGACATCGGACGAGGTAATGTTGAAAAAATTAATTGAAAATTATAGTCACGAAACATAGAAGAAAATGCGTAGCATCCAATTTTCAAATCTAATAGACTAATAGAGATAAGGATATGACCACATTCAGATATTTCTGGTTCAGGTCCTCTTATTCCTGAGAATTTAGAAAGACTCGGTTTAGATCCAGAATTGATTTTAAGCGAAAATTACAACCATTTATGAATCGTTTTAGTTAGAAAAATACAATAAGAAGAAGTTACGAACTTAATGTTTGAGAAATATAAAGTTTCTCTAACTTTGGACGTCAAGGTTTAAGTTTGGCGATATTATCGAGTATTGTGACGTTAACTGGTATATTTCTGTTCAGGTTTACACCGGCACAACTGAACGAGCTGGAGAGATGTTTTTCTAAGACACATTACCCTGACATCTTCATGCGCGAGGAGATCGCCATGAGGATCGGCCTTACTGAGAGTAGAGTGCAGGTTAGTGCCAGAATAATATCTAAAAATGTTACAATACAGAAAGTATGTTTTTAAGTATTCTCATCAAACTATAAACAAAATTTTAATACGTTGTCTTCGCATATTCGTACATGTTCTATCCAACATAATCTTGTGTACTTAAATGTTGGCTATTGGTCAACAAATTATTTAAAAGATCAAACATATCAAATCGGCGGTACCGTTACCTTAACCAACATCCGCTGAAAATAACAATATAAAAAGCATTGGTCCCAAGCGTTCACCTTGCGAGCTCCCTCTTCGCACGTCCAGTTCAAAAGTTGCACTACACTGATACATTTCACGGTACCTCTTACCTGATTCAACCTTCGTGTTGCACGAATAAAAATTTAATTTTTACGTTATGCTCTTTTAAAAGTGATGTGAATGGGTGGTCGAGGTTGTCAAATGCTCTTGTGAAACTTCATAGTCGAATAATCCCATGTATTGGAGTTTTATAGGCCTTAACTTTTATAGAGCGGTTCAGCGGTAGCCGTGTTTTATGGACCGTGAATGTTATGACGTGGTAATGATATTATTATTTCCTTTTCCACCTTCTATATTGAATTTAGATTTAAATGATTCGGTGTGGTCTGTGGGATTTATAGGTATAAAGATTATTGGAATAATTTCAACATATACGCAATCCGCAAGTTGTGCGTTTGTTTAAGTGCCTTTGTAAAACTAAAGGCCGATATTCAATTATTAGTTAATTCTTAATTATGGACTAAAATTGAAATTTGACAGTTTTAGTATGGAAGCATTGTCAAATATTCAAATTTATTCCTTAGTTAAAATTTATCTGACGCTGAATAAATCGGCCCTACTTTAGGCATTTTGAATAACCAGATCATTATAAAACTTACTATATGTCGCAAGAAGCAGGTGGATTTTTCAAACATTTTCAAAAGTTGACCTCTTGGTCAGAGTTTAATCTAATGTTTATGCAAATAGCTGACCATTTACACAAAATTTCGCGTATAAAAGTAGTGAAGTATTAAAAGCTAACTGGAGCTAATCAGCCACCGTCACTTTGTTCAAGCACTTAGTTTCAAGTTAAACTATGCTTTACATTAGACATTAGTCTTAATTTGTGTCGTGTGTTCACTAATATTTGTATTTCGTTAACACTCGAGACACACGGTCCATCGGGACCTCGAGCTGTGGTAAAACTTCTGCTGCAGTGCTCTGAAGTCTATTTGTTATAGTGGCTTTATGTTTACTGGGACGAAATAATTTTCAGATTGTGTTTTACCTTTGCCAAAACTAACTTTAGCAGATTTTTTGAATTTATAGAAAATGACATATAACATTTTTAAGATTTAATACTTTTTGCACTTACAAATTGATAAGTCTCTCAGCCCTGTCTAACAATCGGGCTGAAATATTGTCGTCGAAATTTCAATTCACTATCCAAGTTGACTTGCTTACAAGTAAACCTCTAACAACAAATAATTGAATGCATCTCACATGCCCCAGATATTTGTCAGTTTTATCATCCGTGTGTTCATCACTAAGAAGCGAGTTGTAATCCGTGAAAATTGCCTGTTTATCGTCACAGTTATTAACTTTAGTGTTACGTTATTCATTGTAACTGTTATCGACTACGTGTGGGCAGCTACTGAATGAAGTAGCGTTCATTGATTGACTTCCATCATAAATATTGATGACTGGTCTATTTTTGAGAGCTCTGTTAGTGTCACAGGTTCTGTTTTGAGATGTTGCAGCTTGTAATCTATTTGTACTTCACTTATTTTTTTGATGATATTGACTATCAATTATTTCTGTTGCGTTTGGGATCATCAATTGTTGCAGGTTGTCCTTTTGACTGTACTTTATTTTTTAAGAGATTTACACCCAGTCCTTCAGATGGAAACATTAACTAAAACTTGAGGTTAGTGCCATTTTATAAATCGTAGTATTATTCTCGCATGTGTTCACTTCTTTGGAAATTAAATAGAGTTACATGTTGGTACAGAGTACTGTCAGTTAGTTCACTATTGCCCTTGACATTTTATCGATTGGATTTTTCTGAGCTATTCAACATTTTTGTAAACATGTCACGGTCATGACAACTTACATACTAGTTGCTACACGTTGGAACACGAGAAGTTACGCAATCTAAAATAGACCACACGATATGAAGACTAAGTTGGTTGCCAACTCGTGAATTTATTTGGTAGGGAGTAGAGAGGTATTCTATTTATCATTCGTGTAACAAACGATCTATCATTTGGTTCTTTGATAACACTGTGTGTTGTTGCATTAAAACGGTTGGACTTTTTAAATTAGTTCGTCATTCTTTGTGGAAGTCCATAATGATCATGAATCAAAGGATTTAGCACTTTACTTGTAAGACACCTCAGAGAGTTGCCGACGGGTGGGAACCTTAAACATTATTTCTGGATTCTAACAGTTTCATAACGTAGCATTGGATAAAGATGATACTAAGAATTGGTGCTGGAGCTAGGCAACAGTAATCTCAACAAAGATATCGTGATGTATGAATATAGCCGAAGCGGCGAGGCACACAAAACAAACATCACTAACCTTTACACCTCGGAGTTTTTAAAAAAGTAGCGTCGACAAAAAAGTCGATGCTTTGCTACGCACAATAAATAAATAATAAAACGCGTACGAAGAATGTCGCAGTGTGGCGCGAAGTGGTCCCGGAGAAACACACAAAACGAACACAAATGTGTTTGTCTGACGGTCGCGCAGTCGCGCAGCGTCCGTGTGGCCGGCACTCGCTCGGTACCACGCCACCGGCTACCGGGCATCAACTTCCATTGTTTCCCATCTCTTTGTCTATTCATGGTATCAAAGCACATTTGAATTTTCGTTTAAAGGAAATTATCACCTCTCAATTTCACTTTTGTTGACAATTCCAGGGACTGATAAAATATTAAGCGTTGGTATGATTACAAAACGAGAAATTGCAATGAAATGTAGGAAAATAGTCTGTTAATTTACAGATTATACGTCTGATTTTGCAAAAGAAAATATTCTTCTGTTGAAGAGAAATTAAATGTAGAACTCCTGAAACTTTTACCCTTAATTTCTGGATATTAAACTACTCACAAATAAAGTGTACTCCACTTCAACACGAACTCGTATAAGATTTATACCTAGTAATGATGTATGTGTCTCGCTCAGTTCAGTACACAGGTGAGGGCGCGTACAGTACACATGAACTATTTACAATGCCGGCCGCTCAATTGCAAACACCGGTTGAGTTCCCTATTTACTCGACTTCGGACTCGCTCGGAACTGTATTATTTAAATATGCAGCCGCCAGAACAAACAGTTACCTATATGGGAAGATACAACGCTTGGAACGAACATGATGAAGATATTGAATTAGCTTTAACTGAATATAAAGTGGTTTACTTCGATTAATACTTTGGGACTTAAATGGTGACCCCGGTGTTACAAAATTTAAGTTTATTTATAAAACAAAAGAACATCAAGTGCCAGTATTTAGTATAATTTGTGTTTCAAATTTTCTATGTTTGGCAAATACCCTTCTAAGTATTGATACTGCGTAGCGTAAAAAAACAATAAACCAAAAATTTTATTGATTACTTTTTAATACAATCTATATATATAAAAGAAAGTCGTGTTAGTTACCATATTTATAACTCAAGAACGCCTCAATCGATTTAGATGAAAATTGGCAGGGAGGTAGCTTAGAACCAGGAGACGGACATAGGATACTTTTTATACAATACTTTTTTTACTTTTTACCTAAATTCACGAACGGGAACGGGGGGGAAATGGGATTGCGCGTACGAAGTCGCGGGCAAAAGCTAGTTACAAATAAAATTTGGTGTATTAATTTAAATCAATTATGATTTTTATGATTTTCTTGTTTCTGCCACCGAGCCTGGGTTGCTGTGTGTTAAAAAGGAGCCAATGTGCTATTCCGGACTATAACTACCTCCGTTCCAAATTTCATCCCTTTAATAGTTTTTGCATGAAAGAGTAACAAACACACACACAAACATTCATTTATAAAAACTAATAACAAACAAAAAGTCTAAACTAATAAAAAGCAAAAAATAACTATTATTAGTACTGATAGGTTACCCACCCACTGATAGGTAAGAAGTCGGTGCCATAAGCTCCATACAAAATTATTCATTAAAACCTTAATAGGTACCTAATTCACAATTTTGTGGACAGTTATATCATTATGATATGAGCTTATGGCACGGACTTCTAACCTATCAGTGGGTGGGTAACCTATCAGTACTAATAATAGTTATTTTTTGCTTTTTATTAGTTTAGACTTTTTGTTTGTTATTAGTTTTTGGTTTTTTGAAGTCGGTTTTTTAAACGCAGTTTTTATTTTATTATTTTATCACTTTCAGTGTAAAGCTACATATACCCGTTTTGTTACTTTTAATCTACATAGGTGCAAAGTTCTAATCAATACAAATTATACAAGCCTAAACACAAGGTAGTTACAGTATACCGTTGAGGAGTTCCCTTAACAATTACACTTCTTCATCATCAGACCCTTAATGACAGCCTCACTCTATCCAGGTGTAAAGTCCTCATCAATACAAATTAATCAAGCCCAAACACAAGGTAGTTAGTATAAACCGCTGAGGAGTTCCCTCGACTGTCTATCGGCTCCATCATCAGGTCGACTCCAGGCCCTTATCAAATTGTAGTGTTTAAAAATCCTAATTGAAAAACATAATAGACGCATCACTCGCCCATATAATTTTCGAAAGTTCCCCTCGGTTTCCCTAGGATTCCATCATCAGATCCTGACCTCATGGAAATGGGACCATTTTGGGAGTATACCCTTTCCAACAAAATAAAAATTTTGCAAATCGCTTCACGCATCTCAGAGTTATGCGCGTACATACATTCAAAAAAATAAAAAAAGCAACATACCGGCCAAACGTATAACCTCCTCCTTTTTTGAAGTCGGTTAAAAAGTAGGATTTATTGAATTAGTCAAATCAGAC